CGCTTCTTATCATGTTACTCCGCCGTCGACACCCTAAGGAATCTTTTTAGGGCTGGCCCCAAAGTATCCCCAATTCACATCCCACTGCCCAAGGTCTGCTCAAGTGAAATACGGGTCGCTGAATGAATTATAGAATGAAATGTTCACACTAGAGGCCACATTGCATGTATAGATCATTTATTTTAGGCGAACGGAAGAAGAAAAAGAAAAAAGGGGAAACTAACTCCCCTCCCCTTCCCCAATACTATAATGCCTGAGAAACTGCCTATTAATTCCCTACCAAATCTCGCGGCCGACGAGATGGGGTTAAAAAAAAACCGAAAAGTGCTGGAATAGGCATTGGTACAATACACCATGATACATCTACATAAAAGAGTATGAGAATAACTCGACTTGCTGGCGAAGCCTGCCATTGTATACATTGCCGCTTCAAAAACAAATGCGCCCTCACTAGTAGCCACCCACACTGGCAAGGTATAGAAAGTGATCAAGGTACAGACATCCCAGTAAAGATACAGACAGAACTAGTCAAGGTACAGACATCCCAGTAAAGATACAGACAGAACTAGTCAAGGTACAGACATCCCAGTAAAGATACAGACAGAACTAGTCAAGGTACAGACATCCCAGTAAAGATACAGACAGAACTAGTCAAGGTACAGACATCCCAGTAAAGATACAGACAGAACTAGTCAAGGTACAGACATCCCAGTAAAGATACAGACAGAACTAGTCAAGGTACAGATAGTCCCAACGCAGTTACTGCCGTCGGGGTGTTAATTGTAAGGTTTTCACAGATTCTACGTCAACGGCAAGTGAAGTTTGGTATCTAGTTCCCTTTCTCGTCGCTTTTCCTTCCCAATTTAGGAAATTACCTGGTACCCGTTTGTATATGACCCGGTCAACCCCAAAGCCACACCTCTCGCGAAAAGACTCCTAATACTTCTGAGGATTGAACCCAGACCACTGTCTCGACAGGCTATACCAACCACTTTACCTCTGCAGATGTTAATGTTACAGTAGGGCCTTGCAAAACACCGATATCAAGATGCGTGTTTATGGTAACCAGTCATCTGGTGTGAGCAGCAGAACAGCACTCAGTCGGTGCGGAGCCGTGCTGACGACGGTGGGGTGACAACATTCCCGGCACATGACGCACCAGCACACACTCCCGCAGTCAGCATACGGTTGTGGTCACCCAAGACACAGCTGGCGTTTTATTGCCGTTGTTGATTGTACCTACCGTATTTGTTGAGCAGTGCGTGCAGCAGGCAGCCAGCGATATCATTTCTTCGGACACTTGTGGGAATAAGGTAAGTGAGTAAGTAGTAGGTGAAGAATATGTACGGATCTGTTTGTACTCCTACCGGTTTATATAATATCTGACATAGATGGAATAGTTCAGTTCTTAAATCCACACTTTTCACTATGACAATCTGGTTTCGTCTTATAATTTACTGTATTAATAAAGATTTACCGTAACAGTTTTCCTCATTGATCAACAAAACGCATTATGCACTGAACATTTGATTCCATAGCATTTGGTTTCTCTATGTCGTGTTTTATATCTCGTTTCTTTTTAATGATAAAAGCTTGCCGTCCCAACGTCCTTTTTTGTCAAGCTTACACGTGTTGTGCATTTTTTTTGTTTTATTTTTAAAACTACGACGAAGCTTTACAGCTGCATTGTAATACGATTTTTGAAATTACCATCCATTATATATTTAACGAAGACACTTTTATCCGCTTCTAGAATAGCCCCAGTGCCTCCACTGTCACGGTACAGTCCACGGTACACGGTACATTTGTCCTGCACATTTGTATTTATTTAGTCTTTTCGTGGTCGTCTGTATGTGTTGGGTCTATATATTTCTCTATCTCCATCGCCCTCTTGTCTTTTTCTGTTTCATCGTCTTCTTCTTCTTCTTCTTCTTCTTCTTCTTCTTCTTCTTCTTCTTCTTCTTCTTCTTCTTCTTCTTCTTCTTCTTCTTCTTCTTCTTCTTCTTCTTCTTCTTCTTTTTCTTCTTCTCCTCCTTCTTCCTTCTTTTTCTTCCTCTTCATCAGCATCATCTTTTTCTTTCTCTTCATCAGCATAATCTTTTTCTTCATCTTCATCAGCATAATTCTATTCTTCTTTTTCGCCACCATCTTCTTCGTCATCCTCTACTAGTTCTCTCTGTCTTCTGTTAAATTATTCCTTGTCTGGATTTTCTTTCTCAGGTCGATCCATCTTTGAATGGTTACCATGAAAACGTCCTGGCAAGTATAGGCGACCGGCGTAATTTTAACCACATTACCCATTATCAGTGCCGACTGAAATGTAAAATATAAGTATAGCCCTTTATGCTGGAAGGCGTAAAAAAAGGTCCTTTACTTTTTATATACTATGGAGAAAAAATTTGTCATCCTTTTTAATCATGTTTAATCCAGTGATTAGCAATGAGTTGTGTACTTTCTGTTGGTTTCTGTAGCATTGCTTTTAGCAAGAGATCTATCTATTTTACAAAAGAACCGAACTGCGGACCTAGACAGTAATAGGCGCCTATCCTATCATTTTACAGAAACGCTGGCGACAACGGCAGCAATAATAATAATAACAAATATATATTAAAGAATATAAAGGACCGATATACAATGCAGTTACAAAAGGGTGTGTGTTTAGGACGGAGTGTTTATTCATGTATGTGTGCAGTGTGAAGAGCCCATCCACAAACACAGTTACCATTGTGGCCGCAGCTGACATTGTAGTTGTCCGCCCAGTGTTTAGCTGTAACTTGTATTGATCGCCGACCCGGCTCACTAATTATTCGTTAGGGGCAAATGCTCTAGTGACTCTGTGCATATCAGGTGGGTTTTTTTTTTTCAAAGATACGCTGCATTTCTTGATAGCTTATCTATATATATATATATATATATATATATATATATATATATATATATATATATATATATATATATATATATATATATATATATATATATATATCAGTAGTATGCCGTCTCCACAGTTAAGGTTGGCTGCAGCATACCCACTGCTGTTCTTGGGAACATTGCGTTGTAATGCAAGAAATGGACCCTTTCCACACCTTCAGGCATATTGGGCATATAGGGCTAGGCCTATATTTTATTGAACAATCGGCTTTTGGTGGGTGATGTGGTCAGCATCACGCTGGCCGCTTTTACTTCCCAGGACTGTTCCTGGTACCCACTCAAGGCTGGGTCGACATGGGAGCCAAGGTCATTTTGTTAAAAAAAGTCCGGCACCGTGAGGACCTGAACTCACGACCTTCCGATCGCAGACGAGAGTCTAGACGTTACCTCGGCGGCTCTCACGAGAACGGTGTAATAGTAATAATAAAATAAATCGACCTCACCGTAGATCTAACCGAATACTCAAGAATGAATAATCTGGATATTTGCCGTCATTTAAATCACACATGCATATTTCGATTCTATCCCAATATCTCTCCCAAACAGACTGTTAAATATTTTAGGGGGTGGTAGATAGGCTGCATGAAGTCGTGGGACCTAGGCTGCCTGCTGTCGTGGGACCTAATTTGCAGTCTCTCGTGGGACGTAGGTGGGTTGGGGTTAGGCCCAGTTCTATATGTTTTTTGGGTAGTTAAAAGCATCAGAAAGCCGGAAAACCCTCATTAACCACGCTCAAAGCTATTGGATTGTCTTGCGACGTCATCCTGAGGGAAGATATTGGGAAAGCACCCATATTTCTAATACATAAAAGTGGTAATCGTCGCGAGAGTGTTAATCAGTTGTCCTGGCAACTGTGACTAGGAAGGAGGCAATGGTAGGAAGCTCTTTGTAACCTGTAAACCGTTCACTTCTCATGTATCCAGCTCTGGTCTTTCTAATCGTATGCATAGAGGCACCAGGGAAACTTGCAGGCGTGAATACGTGTGTCCGTTGCTGTTCTAGACTCTTCGTATGTTAAGATGAATAAATGTACAAGTATTCATAGGCCCTCGTAGAAAAAAGGATAGTAGTAGTAGTAGTTGTAGTAGTAGTAGCAGCAGTAGTAGCAGTAGCAGGAGTATTAGTAGTAGTAGATGATGATGATTTACAGACCGAATTGACAGCGACAAGAGCCCGACCATAAATACAATGGACTGAAGGAATGACAGAGTCTCTGAGAACACCAAAAACGACGCACACAAACGGCCATTTTCGCGCAGTTTATACTCTACCTCGACACTGTATATATAGTTAACGATTAAAAAAAGCAATGTTACATGAGATGATATGCACTTATAGAAGCAAAGCTAAAAGTAAAAATAGTTTTCATCCGGGATTTGAGGGAAGGGTCGAGGTGGAAGAAGATAGGCTCACTGTCTTTAGGAGCATGGTGGACTCCGCTGATCCATAGAGCAGGGTTTCCATTGGAATGCCAACCCGCTGGACCCAGATCTGGCTACTGTGTGTAGCGAGTATGTTCTGTAAATCATTTTCAATATCCCGTGGTGCTTGCCCACATGAGCAAAGTTCTAATCCCCAATTTCGAACGTCTTGTACATATGGCTCAAAGTCTGTTATATCAATTATGTAGTCTAAATATTATGGTGGTTCTTTCGTGTGATGAGGTTGGTTGGGTCTTCGTGATTGTGTTCTGAGTGGGAAATATTCCACTGGATTCTAATAGATGCCTTAATTTGTTTTATTTTCCTCAAAGGTGCGTCTAATATCTGACTGTTGTGTATGACTTGCAAATGTCGCTAAATGGTCTGGAGCAAGCTGTACAAACCGATTAATTTGCTGAAATGTGTTGGGTATTGCAGCCGAGTTGTAAACATGCCAGCTTCTCTTTTAAGAGCGAACGTAGAAGAAAAATTAATCAGTCCTGTCTTCTCCATGTCATTGTCAGTTTAGAGATTTGTTGTTGTTGTCCACGTCATCTCAGACTGTCTCCAGTCATATCATCGTCTTATTTCTCGTATACAAAATATATAACCAACATAACATTTAAGAATTCTCACTGTCGTTTCCAGATGGCTTCTGCTAACGATTCTAAATGGCAAAAGGATGCGGCGGACCAGAACTTTGACTATATGTTCAAACTGCTGATTATCGGCAACAGTAGTGTGGGCAAGACCTCCTTCTTATTTAGATACGCCGATGACTCTTTCACCTCGGCTTTCGTGAGCACCGTGGGCATCGACTTCAAGGTGAAAACCGTGTTCAGACAAGACAAGCGGGTCAAGTTACAGATATGGGTAAGTTCTGTTTGTGCTGGTGGTGACTGTTTGTGCTGGTGGTGACCTTTATGTGCTGGTGGTGACTGTGCTGGTGGTGACTGTTATGTGCTGGTGGTGACTGTTTGTGCTGGTGGTGACTGTTTGTGCTGGTGGTGACTGTTTGTGCTGGTGGTGACTGTTATGTGCTGGTGGTGACTGTTATGTGCTGGTGGTGACTGTTATGTGCTGGTGGTGACTGTTATGTGCTGGTGGTGACTGTTTGGGCTGGTGGTGACTGTTTGGGCTGGTGGTGACTGTTTGGGCTGGTGGTGACTGTTTGGGCTGGTGGTGACTGTTTGGGCTGGTGGTGACTGTTTGTACTAGTGGTGACTGTTTGTGCTGTTGGTGACTGTTTGTGCTGGTGGTGACTGTTTGTGCTGGTGGTGACTGTTTGTGCTGGTGGTGACTGTTTGAATGTCTGCTTTCGAGGTAGCTGAGTGGGTCGATTCTTGCCTGTCGCTTGGCATTGGCACTTTCCCGTCTTTCCAGACTTGAAAGGTCTTGTATTTGAGTCCCTGTCTAGGCGGACTTTCTAAAAATAATAATTGACCTCTACTCTCAGGTCAGTCCAGCCGAAAATGGGTGCCAGGAAAGGCTGTGAGAATAAAGTCGACTGACATAAAGAGATGCCAAAGATGCTTCACTGGATTCCATCCATGATGATGAAACTATTCCACACGATCGAACATATTGGAAGAATAAATGACGAGCTCCATGTCTGACTATATAAAGATGATGATGTAGATCACATCGCACATCTAGTGTCGGTTTTTTCTACAAAATGGGTCTAGCTCCATATGCCTGGTACGACTCAGGGTGAACAAAAATGTTGTTTTTGTTACTTCACTCAACCTCTTCTGTGTTTTGCTCAGACCCCATGCTTGATGGAATGGCGTGTGAACAGTGTCGATACTTGCGGCGTCACACATGGGTTCATTTTCCCATATCCTGTCATTAATCTGTCAGTGTTGTGTTCATTACAGAGAGCACTGCCACATAATAACATGATCTTGGGGCAGGCAGACAGTTTCAGATAACGCAGCAATACCAGGACACGGCTAGGCACCTAGGGTTAGAATTCTGTGACAGATGTCTAAAGTCTGTAATTAAGCGGGAATCTTCTCACACAAGATGTTCACCGTTGTGTAGTGACGTGTTGCATCTACCGTTTTAAATGCCATAGCACAAGCAGCCCAGTTGCCACGTTCTAACAAATACCGTATCAAATGAACGAAGGCGAAGATACTTGCACTTTCTTTCTTTCTTTCTTTCTTTCTTTCTTTCTTTCTTTCTTTCTTTCTTTCTTTCTTTCTTTCTTTCTTTCTTTCTTTCTTTCTTTCTTTCTTTCTTTCTTCTTTCTTTCTTTCTTTCTTTCTTTCTTTCTTTCTTTCTTTCTTTCTTTCTTTCTTTCTTTCTTTCTTTCTTTCTTTTCTTTCTTTCTTTCTTTCTTTCTTTCTTTCTTTCTTTCTTTCTTTCTTTCTTTCTTTCTTTCTTTCTTTTTCTTTCTTTCTTTCTTTCTTTTCTTTTTTTCTTTCTTTCTTTCTTTCTTTCTTTCTTTCTTTCTTTCTTTCTTTCTTTCTTTCTTTCTTTCTTTCTTTCTTTCTTTCTTTCTTTCTTTTTCTTTCTTTCTTTCTTTCTTTCTTTCTTTCTTTCTTTCTTTCTTTCTTTCTTTCTTTCTTTCTTTCTTTCTTTCTTTCTTTCTTTCTTTCTTTCTTTCTTTCTTTCTTTCTTTCTTTCTTTCTTTCTTTCTTTCTTTCTTTCTTTCTTTCTTTCTTTCTTTCTTTCTTTCTTTCTTTCTTTCTTTCTTTCTTTCTTTCTTTCTTTCTTTCTTTCTTTCTTTCTTTCTTTCTTGTCCTCTCGGCTTAGTGTGTCTGCTTGAAGCACAAACAAACATAAGAGCCAAGGAGCAAAGGTACCTGATTACATATCTGTTATTAATCAGTCAGAAAAGATCAGCATCATCATGATCAACTGTTAAAAAAAAAACAAAAAAAAAAAAAACAAAAAAAAAAAAAACCACTCCTGTTGTTAGGACATCAGGTAATCTCACCGCACTTGCCATATTCTCTTCAACTCAGCCCAAGTCAGGATTCCAGCAGAAGCGATTTTAGAAACATTCGGAACATTACTTGAATTCCATTGCAATGTAGTTTGATCGAACCATACTGGTCTGAATGAACACACAATTATTGCTGTGTGTTTGTGTGTACGCGCGCCTGTGTTTTAGGATGTGGGTGTGAATGCGGGGAGAGGGGAGGGGGGGGGGGTTAACACTGGCCATTGTTCCGGCAGTCAAGCACACTCAGTCATGACGCCACCACGGTGTGTTGTATATTTACAGCAGCTGCCCATTTTTGCAGTGTCGTAATATTTTATGCTTATTCGTCACATCATTCTGCACATTTCCATCCGGTAATAAGAAAACATTTCAAAAGTGCTCAGGCCCTGTCCAAACAGCGAATTTCCAACTACATACTCAAAGACACGATGTTACGTCGATAGCGGTTGCCCAGATGCAGTTATCGGTGCTGAACTGTTTACATATGCCTTATTTGTTATGCATTTGTAGAACCGCCCCCCTTGTTTGCTCATAGTTTTGCTATCCGTTTGTGGTAAGCTAAACAATACACTAGCTTGCACACTGGCTTGATGCCGGGTCAGAGGTCATGTGTGCCTCTGTTGAAAAAAAATCGATAGTTCCGTGCCCAGAATGATCAGCCAGCCAGATATTGGTCAGATTTCTGAAAGGAGAGCAGCCAAAGACAGCCGCGCAGTCTCCCATTTGCAGACCATGTTGGATATAATCTGACTTTGTTACCAACCATGATATCGACGGAACGGAGTAATGTGCTGCGCGCCCTGTGTGACATATATTGGCACAACAAGGCAGTGATGACGTTGTTTATAGTCTGGGCAAACTGTTATTGTGAAACAGACTGCCGCGTAAATCAGCAGTACAACAGTGGAATCAGTTGAATGACTCTTTTGTCCATTTGTGAACGCCTGTGCACGTTTTTTCACGAATCTAAGATATCTAAGACCATGATAGAGCCGGTAAAACAGGGACGGTTGGTCATAATCAGGGAGCCAGAACCTGGCCGGCTTAGGCCCTTTAACCGACACCCCTCCCTCCTCCACCACAACAAGAACATGTTTAAGCGGGCTGATCCACCTTAATGTTTTTTTTTTTTTTTTTGGCGGCACATGTAGTCATAATGAATGTGTCTGCGGGTGGGGGTGAACGTTTAAACAAATTTCTTGTGTAATTATGCTTTCTGTAATGCAATTTCTGCCTGAGATTGAGCAGTCATTTCCACTTGCATCAAACAGTTTGTCTGCAGGACCTGGATACTATATCTCATTGCCTGCCTGTCTGTCTTTCTGATTTCCTGCATGTCTGTCTGTCTGTCTGTGGGACCGCCTGTCTGCACTCTTGTCAGCAGTCACCTTATATTCCTTAGCAACTAGGTACATGTTTTACATATTGAGAAAGCATCCAGCCTAAAACTGTTCTCTATCGTTTGCGGCTCCGCATGTTGTAGATAGGAAAAGGTCTGTCTGTTCTATAGAGCACAGCAGTTGAGTTGTTTTCTACAGCGCTGTGAGATAGCATCGACTGGATATTTATCCATAATTACAGTTGTTAGTGGAATTATGTGTGCACTGTTGCATGCACGTGCGCGCCTGAACACAACACTTAGAGATACACACGCCTAAACACACAGAGATTCACTAAGGTCATTGTGTTAATCTTGCGTTTTGTACACACATTAGTATGTCACTTATGAATGTGTGCAAGGAGGAAATATTGACATTCTAAAAGGTCTCAAAATCGAGAAAAACTTTCTACTAAACAATATAACGCGTTCTTTATATCATTTTAACAGTGTTTAGTACATTTAGGATAACTGTATCCCCTCATTGGTGATTATTGTTTGTGTTCAGTAGCTATAAACTCCAACGTAAAGTTCTGGTTGTTCGTCCACATCTTGACTTAAGTCTTGTTCCAGAATGTCAATGTTCCGTGCACATCCGTTTCTATTTTTATGCAAACTGTTTGTTCCTCGCCTCTCATGCAGATGCGCTTCAACTTAGGAGAGAAACATGTCTATATGCTAGCTGATGGTGTGCTATAATTTGTCGAGAAACATGTCTATATGCTAGCTGATAGTGTGCTAGAATTTGTCGAGAAACATGTCTATATGCTAGCTGATGGTGTGCTATGATTTGTCGAGAAACATGTCTATATGCTAGCTGATGGTGTGCTATAATTTGTCGAGAAACATGTCTATATGCTAGCTGGGGTGTCCTATAATTTGGCGAGAAACATGTCTGTATGCTAGCTGATGGTGTGCTATAATTTGTCGAGAAACATGTCTATATGCTAGCTGATGGTGTGCTATAATTTGTCAAGAAACATGTCTATATGCTAGATGATGGTGTGCTATGATTTGTCGAGAAACATATCTGTATGCTAGCTGATGGTGTGCTATAATTTGTCGAGAAACATGTCTATATGCTAGCTGATGGTGTGCTATGATTTGTCGAGAAACATGTCTATATGCTAGCTGATAGTGTGCTATGATTTGTCGAGAAACATGTCTATTTGCTAGCTTATGGTGTGCTACGATTTGTCGAGAAACATGTCTGTATGCTAGCTGATGGTGTGCTATAATTTGTCGAGAAACATGTATATATGCTAGTGATGGTGTGCTATAATTTGTCGAGAAACATGTCTGTATGCTAGCTGATGGTGTGCTATAATTTGTCGAGAAACATATCTATATGCTAGTGATGGTGTGCTATGATTTGTCGAGAAACATGTCTATATGCTAGCTGATGGTGTGCTATGATTTGTCGAGTTGTCGAGAAACATGTCTGTATGCTAGTGATGGTGTGCTATAATTTGTCGAGAAACATGTCTATATGCTAGTTATGGTGTGCTATAATTTGTCGAGAAACATATCTATATGCTAGTG